CGTATGATTAGTAATGTACAATATATTTTAAGTGTTTGATATGTGATATTGTTACAAACCGTTAAGTACGTTTATTTATATTGTCTATAAACGCAACATATACATAAATTACGAAAATATATTGTCTATAAACGTGCACACTCTCTCAACATACAGCAAAATCACGATCACAATATACAAAATATACACGATCACAAAAATCAGTTAATGAATATACAAAATATTCCCACAATATATACTTAATATATACCAAGTAAAATCTTTGCATTTGCTTAAACATGTGGTGAATAAACACCAGAAAGAAATAAACATATCAGTTAATGAACATACACAGTTGCTACAATCAAGAAATATATACATATCATAAACTATTAGCATACCCAATACAAATATTGGTTAATGAACATACACAGTTGCTCCAAAAAAATCTCACAGCAGAAAAAACATGTCACATATACATTACATATACTGAACATATACAACCTAATGTTAATGATATAATAACAACTTCGAAACTAATTACTACAAAATGAATTATATACATACAATATACTTAACATATACAAATTAAATTTTTTATATTTGTTGTTTAAAATTCGTCCTCAAAATCGAAATCCGGCGGAGACTTATTTTTTACGGTTGGAGAAAATCTTGGCAACCTGCTTCGATTTTTCGCTTCTTTCACCGTTGAAGCCTTGTTGGAGGAAATCCTAGGCAGCCTGATTCTTTCGACTTGTTGGAGGAAATCCTGGGCAACCTGCTTCGATTTCTCGCTTCTTTCACGGCTGAAGGCTTCCCACCAGGCTTCGACTTCGGCTGCCTCGTCATAATCTCTACCCATAGAATCGTCGTTGTCATCGTTTATCTTCAAATGTTCGAACTCCTGCAGCCATGGTTGTGTGTTTTTTTATCGCCATTGCTCAATGATGAATTGAAATTTTAGGGCTTTTGTTTTCTTCTTTTCATGTTTTCTGTTGTGTATATATATGGTGATTGAGGAATTCGAGTGAGTCTCTCTCTTTACCTAAACAAATTTAAAAGGGGGTAGCGGTGGGAAGGAGGAGAACTGCGGCGGATTGCAGATTGTAGAAGAGAAAGATGATGTGAGACAGAGAAGAATAGAGATAGGAAAAGACAGAGAAAGCATCGTGATGGGAAAAGAGAAAAATATGGAGGTTGTTCTCTTAATTTCAGTAACTGTTATCAATAAGTGAGTATTAATATGGGATAATATATTTTTATTCCTAATCAAATAATTTCGTATCTTTGCAATTAAAAGGACATTACATGATAATCTTGCTACAGTTTTTAATCTTATCGTAAGGGTGCAATAAAATAATTGAGGTGTCGTCCGTGAGGTAATTTTCTCAAGATTTTAAATTCGGTCATTGAATTCGAATACCATATTGCTTCGGCCCGAGCATTGTCAAATTAATCTGTCAATTAATTGTGATGGGCCTTGGAAGGGGAATGAAGCACCAGGCCCATGTTTTGAGGTTGTTACTTGTTCAAGTTTATTAAATATATAATAACAAGAATCACACAAAAGTTGAAAGGACACATCGGAGAGACTAAATACCACAACACACCCACGATAATAAAATATAACTCTAAACAGAACAATACAGATCCCAAAGGGATAATATTTCTTAACTCCCAACAGGAGAATTTAGATCCCAAATGAATAATAACACCCACTACAGAAAAAAGAAAACACACAAAAACACAAACCACAAAACACAACAAACATAGAAAAAAGCACTTTCCACAACCGGACTAACACACCAAACAAACCTCAATGGAAACACCACGATCAACCTCCAAACAGATCGGACCATGGCCCATGTTTCAACACAAAAAACTGCAACACGACCTAACTAGAGTCGAAACACTATACCCTAACTCGCGCCCTGGCGGCAGACCACATCCCCTCAGCCGGAGGTCAGTCAAATAGCCCCATCCCTCGCCACAACACCACCACCACATTACCAGCCCACACCATTGCCAGGCCGGCGCGACGGTAGTCCCCAAAGCAACACCACAACCCGCCTCTGCCTCGCCGCCATGGAAACCAACAACCTTTGTCCCGAAATGACATCCATAGGTGCCGATGACCACTCAGGAACGCCGATCGACTCTGTCGCTCGAAAAGACAGGCCCCAACACTAATCGAGGACGCGCCGCACGACCAGGAACCAATCACCATCGAGGAGCCCAGCAGCCTCATCAGGGAAGGCAAACGAAGAAATTAGGTTAGGTCAAGGAATTGGGGAAACGAAGAGGAAGAAGAAAGAAAGAAATTTTAGCCACGCAAGGCTTTTAGATTCAAGAACAAGAATCATTTGATACTAACAGATTGAACCTAATTTCCATTTGACCTCTATTAATTAGCTTATTTGGTAGATAGTTTATTTGGTCTGTATATAGAGCAGCATTTTAAAATTTCAATAAAGTTATACAAAATTATATATACACTCGTTTATAAATCTCTATCACAATTAAATGCTAGTCCAATTAGGCATAGTTATTATTTCAAACTTATTTTTCTCCATAGTCTCCTATGTAGGAACTTAAGTCAATATTTTTCTATAATGTGCAAGCAAATATGCAACTACCATATGAACCAATGCCAGCATAAACCGAGGATTTATTTCAAGTGATCTCGTTGAGTTTGAAAAATTCAACCCGCCCTTGATTAGCTCTTAGAACTCTAAGCGGTGTCCAAAAATTAAGTCAATATATTTTATCTTTTATTTATTTTCAGTATTTTTAAAATCAAACTATCCCAACTTATAATAAATGCACTTACCTAAGTTTATCTAAAAACATTAATATATTATAAGAAAAACATGATAATAAAATAATGTAATTAGTATTAAAAAAAATTGAAAAATTGTCGCCGAGCACGCCTAGGCGCCGCATAACTGTCTGGTCGTCGAGCCTGCCTATGCACCGTCTAGCCGCATGATTTATTTTTTCAGCCGATTCATGCAAATCGGAGGCGGCCGAACGATGTCTAGGCCGATTTTTAGTACAATACTCTTAACAATATTTTTTTATCAAAATATTGGCTCATGATGATTTTGTATCGCAAAATACCGGTATAAAAAAATGACAAAAAATTGATAAATGTTGATTTATTTTATTTGGTTACCATTCTATATTTATATCACTAGTTTTATATAAATCTAAACTTCTAAACTTAATGCTACTATATTTTTATGTTCTTGTTTACTCGGGATACAATAATCAACCATAGAATTGACTTTTTTTTTTTTTCTTTATTTTACTCGTAGCATTTGGTTACATACTAATGTAATTTTCAAAACCGACAACCAACAAAATGGGGGTTTAACACATTTTCTTGATTAGCAAGTGTAAACCGTTGTCAATTGCCCATGAGAGCAACCTTTTAACTATTATTATTATTATTTTTTTTTTCCTCCAAAAAAAAGTAACTTAATAGTACCTAGTAATTGTTGCTAATCAATCCCTTTCTATGCAGATGGGCATAGCTACATTAGTAATTAAAATATTATAAATTATTAATTTAGGCCGTCTAATCAGTAGACTTGTCGATTCGTTATTTTTTTTTTCGTTTTATAAAAAATGCATATTATGTTATTTAAAAATGTCATATTCTTATTTATATATTTTGTCGATATTTTAGTTTGCATTTTGCATATATATGTTCAAATAGTACGATTGTCTATCTGTTAGATCTGCCTAGCTCACATTAGTTCAACTACTAAAATATAGATGATTTACAACAACAAAAAAAAAAAGATTAAAAAAAATAATACTTCTCTTTATATCATATTTGTGTAATGGTTTTTAGATAAATGAAAACCCATTACAAATTATTTTATATTTTATTATTAAACTTGCTTAGTGTATATAATTCTTGCTTTCTTGTTCCCATTTTCACTTCAATAAGCCCCCACACTAAAAGGATCAATAATCAAACAACACAAATTAAATGCCAATAAGTACTAATATTGTCATATGAATCTCAATTGAGGGAGCACATTGCAAACATTATTTTTTACATAAAAAAATATTTGTTACTATTATTCAATTATATATATTCACTAATAATGACTCCATCACCCAATAATATCTCACTTGGACACCACTCCAAATCTAGAGTTGGGCAACAGCCTATTTCATGTCAACCTTCAATCTGTTATTATGCTTTCAACAAAAACTTTGTCATAAGTACACACCAAATCAAACAAACACAATGCAAAAACAAACTAAGTCTTTAACTTAACCACAACACTATATATATTCACCATTCAATGCCTCTATTTTCAACCCATCCTAAAGCTCCTAGCAACTTAACATTCACCCTTAATTGCCATTCTCATAACTCTTCATCAAAAGTGATAGAAAAAAAAATAAATAAAAATGATTCATTCCAAGAAGTTGCTCTTTGTAATCACCACATTGTGCTTTCTAGCCGAGGCGGCTCAGTCGAAACATACGAGGCCCACGAGAAACTACAAGTTCGATGTACGCATTTACTCATAAACGCTTTACTTATCTGCAAAAATTATGATTCGTTTTACTCATTCGTCAAGTTCTTTTGTTACGCCTGTAAAAATGTTATTGCTCGTGTGTACAACAGATCAAAATGCAGAAAGTCACGAGATTGTGCCAATCGAAGAACATCGTGACCGTTAATGGCCAGTTCCCTGGGCCCACAATCACCGCACGGGAAGGTGACCGGGTCACAGTTAAAGTAGTTAACCATGTTCGATACAACGTTTCAATCCATTGGTAGAATTCTCAAATCCACTTTCTCGTTAACTTTTTTTCTCGACAATAATAAACTTTTTTTAGTAAACTTGAACAATGTAACTCTCATAGGCACGGAGTTAGGCAGCTTAGGAGCGGTTGGGCAGATGGGCCCGCATACATTACGCAATGCCCGATTCAGACGGGCCAAAGCTACGTATACAACTTCACGATCATCGGGCAACGAGGCACCTTATTTTGGCACGCGCACATTTCGTGGCTTCGGGCCACGCTCTACGGGCCAATTATCATCCTTCCCAAACGCGGAATCCCTTATCCTTTCCCTCGACCCTACAAGGAAATCCCCATTGTTTTCGGTAAAATCGACATCGTTTTTTTCCTATATATATCTATATTCTTTTAGAAATTTAGATCAAATGCAGTAAATAATTTTATTTTTTTAATTTTTTTCATGTATATTAGGTGAATGGTGGAAAGCAGATACAGAGAGTATCATAAACCAAGCACTGCAAACTGGAGGAGCACCCAATATTTCTGATGCATACACCATTAATGGCCTTCCTGGACTCTTTTACAATTGTTCAGCCAAAGGTGAATTTCTTTACCTAAAAATCATCAGAGAAAATAAAAAAAAATTAAAAAAATTAAAAAAAAAAATCTTGACTGTAAAAATGCAGATACATTCAAGTTGAAAGTTAAACCGGGCGAAACGTACCTCCTCCGGCTAATCAACGCAGCGCTAAACGACGAGCTATTTTTCAGCATAGCTAATCACAGCCTGACAGTTGTCGAGGCCGATGCTGTGTACGTAAAACCCTTCAAAACCGACACGATCCACATAGCGCCAGGTCAGACGACAAATGTCCTCCTCCGAACAAAGCACCGCCACCCGAACGCGACCCACCTAATGTCTGCACGGCCTTACTCCACGGGCCCCGCCACATTCGATAACTCCACCACAACTGGCCTCCTCGAATACTACCGGCACCACCGGAACCCGAACCCAGCCACGAAAATTACCAAACTACCCCTCCTCAAGCCGTCGCTTCCCCTCTTCAACGACACGAAATTCGCCTCTACCTTCAGCCGAAAGCTACGCAGCCTAGCTAGCTCGTCAAAAGTCCCGCGGAGAATCAACAAGAGATTCTTCTTCACAGTCGGGCTCGGGCTCAGCCCGTGCAAGAGAACAAACGGGCCTTGCCAGGGCCCGAACGGGTCAATGCTGGCGGCCTCGGTCAACAACGTGTCGTTCAATATGCCGACGACGGGCCTGCTCCAGGCCCACTTCGCGAACCGGACAAGAGGGGTATACACGACCGATTTCCCGGAAAACCCGCCCGTGAAATTCGATTACACGGGTAACCCGCCCACCAACAGTATGGTTTCGGGCGGGACGAGGGTTGCTGAGGTGGCGTATGGCACCAAGCTGGAGGTCGTTTTGCAGGACACGAGCATAATCGGGGCAGAGAGCCATCCCCTGCATCTGCACGGGTTCAATTTCTTCGTGGTCGGGCAGGGGTTCGGGAATTTCGACCCGAGTAAGGACCCGAACCGGTTCAACCTGGTCGACCCGGTGGAGAGGAATACGGTAGGGGTGCCCTCTGGGGGATGGGTCGCGATCCGGTTCGTCGCGGATAATCCGGGTAAAAGACTAATAACTCGGTTCAATTTCTTTTTCTTTTTCTTTTTCTTTTTTTTTTTTGGTTGATGATTTGATGTTTGTGTGTGTAGGTGTGTGGTTCATGCATTGTCACCTGGAAGTGCACACGAGCTGGGGGCTGAAAATGGCGTGGGTCGTGGCCGACGGCAGGCGCCGGAATCAGAAACTGCCGCCGCCGCCGGCGGATCTTCCCAAATGTTGATTATGATTTATGATTTCCATTTTTGTATTCATCTTTTCTATCAAAGTAAACGGTTTTGTACCATTACAATTTACATCAATACCATTGGAGAAAAAATGGAGTATAAATTTTATATGAAATGTAACTTTAGCTCTACATTTTCGTACACATTTATCATTTGTTATATACATGAAAATTCAGTAGTTAGTTGTAATCACCATAGTTTTTCAATCCATATATACATAATTTTTATTTCTAAAATAAAAAATATTTTTAAAAGAAAAAAAAAATACAGGGATCAGGTCAGCTGGTTGACTGGGTCCCTTGTTACTCGGTTGGAATAACCCACACAGACCAATTCCGGATCTAGTAGACACGGTATCGAGTCGACTCGTCGGTCGAGATACAATATTATTAACACTTAGATATTCAAATTTTATATACAAAACATTTAATTTTGTTATCTTTATTTATATCTATGGGACAAAAATAAAACATGTAATTTAAATTTTTTCAAAACTAATTCAACAATTGATCTGATGACCCGACTGCTGAACCGATGACCTAGTGATCCTGAGATATGTCGAGGTCGATTTTTGAGTTGAGTTTAAAAACTATGCTAATAAACCGAAAAAAATGAGATTCTAGAAAATAAAGTGTTAGAAATTTGTGCAGCTAAAAGTGAAAGAACCTTGTCAAAAAGAATAATTATTGATTAGGTGATTAGAAAAATCGAAAAACAGTTGCGAAGAAATTAGAGATTGAAATAACACAAGTCCATGATGCCATGATGGCATGATAGATTTGAGCTCGACTTTATCTTCGTTTTCACATCAGATATCACGGGCCTGCTTGTTTAATAAATTTTCAAATTTTTACCAATTTTTTGTGTTAACTAGAGTTTATTTTAAAAAAAATTATTATGATTAGTTGTTTGTATAATTTTTAATTTGTATTAAAATAATATTTAAAATAAAATAATTAAAATTAATTTGATATAAAATTAAAAGATAAATGATTGAAAAAGATAGGTAGTTCAAATTATGTGAATAGATGAATAATGAATTAAAGTATGTGCAATGTGTAAGAACTATTGAATTATATTATTTAATTATATTGATAATATTGAAGAGAGTGGAGTTGAATTAAAGTTGAGTTAGATTTCAAATTGAGATTTATTTATTTATTTTTATTTTATTATTATTATTTTTATTTTATTTTATTTTTTTTTTATAAACAAGCAAGTCCAACTAGTTGTAGATGACTATTCTTCTTGTTGGAAGATGATTGTGTGTATAGTTTCTACATATAATATGATCATTGTTTATGAAATACAAGCATTTTAGAAGTATTTATTTATTTATTTATTTATTTTTTTTTTGCATTGCATTGCATTGCATCATTCTTATGTTTCATTTTAAAATCACAAGTATGGAGAAAATTTATTTAGGAGGGTGAGGGTTTATAGTTTTTCTTTTTATTTGATATTTTTCTATATTTACTAAAATAGTTAGAGATCACGTCGATTTTGAGAGCTTAAGAGCATGTTTGTTTATGAAATTTTTCAAAAAATTTCCATCATTTTATCTCAACCATTTTTTTTAACTCAACTTTAACTCAACCCCACTATCATCAATATTATCAATATAATTAAATAATATCAATCAACCATTCATATACACCACATCAACCTTAATTCACTATTCATCCACTCACAATATTTTAACTAATCATCACATCAAATCATCTATCTCCTACTTTTACATTAAATCAATTTTAATTATTTTATTTTAAATATTATTTTAATATATCCACTACCAACTAACCATATCACTTTTTCCAAAACTAACCAAACCAAACCAAAAAATCTAACAAAACCAAAAATTTCCATAAACAAACATGCTCTTAAAAGTCTATATGTGAGATTTTTTGTTTTGTTTTTCTAAACGAAATGATTTATTAGAATTAATACTATTTGTGAACTGTCTCACATTGTTTATACATGAAAAAATAGACCTAACTTATAAGTCTAATGAGCTACTCTTTATACTACCAATTGGTTTTGAGACGGAACCTCACTATGGTGTATATAGGCTCACCTTCTTATGGTTTGCTTCACGTGCATGGGACTGCACCCGTTTCTCCCGATTCATTCATGGTATCATAGCAGACTTACGTGGGACTTGCGGAGACGTACCCGTTACCCGACCTTCTTTGTGGGCTCGGGCTTTAGTTGTGAGTTGTTCACATCATTTATACAAGAAAAAATAGACCTAACTTATAAGCCTAGTAGTGGCCACACCTCCTACTACCAATTGGTTTTGAGATGAAACCTCACTTTGGTGTATCTAGATTCATCCTCTTATGGTGCGCTTCACGCGCATGGGACCGTACTCATTTTCCCTAATTCTTCCCGGACTAAATAAAAAATACATATTTACATCTAGTCAAGCAACAGTATTGTTGAATCTAGTGAGAGGACAACTCATAAGGAAGCCTAGGATACCATAATGTAACTACGATAATTACAATATTCCCACAAGTAGAGAATAAAATGGCCAACATGATAATGAACCCCAAAAGAAACACTGGAAAAACACATAGCATCCACAAACTAACACCAATATACACTGACAAAGAAAAAAATGCAATAAACGATAAAATAAAGCCCTCCACAGCAGCCAGCACGCAGCTCCAAAACACCACCATACGAGACGAGAGCAGAAGTTGATCGCCGAATGCCTTGGGAGCAAATCTAGCCAATCCTTTCACCAAGATGGTGACAGCTAACATAGATCCACCCCACTCAGAGAAAATGCCGACCTTGAGGCCGCGCCCGAAAGCCCACACAAACCCCCACCCCACCACGACTCCAACGAAAGTACATGAGAAAGCCCGGAACTGAAGAGTACTCCCGCCAAAGGAATCTCTCCATTCCAACCCCTAGGAGACGAAGGTGAAAAGGGGGAAAAAGACCGGCATCGATCAAATCTCGTTCGCCAAAAAAGGGGCGAACTGATTCCCACCCTCGTTGCCGATTAGTCGCCCATAAACCCGTCACGACAGCCCGAGTCGAGAAGAGATTTGAACCAGCGAACGACCGAATGAAGGCTATGGGGCGAAAGCCACGCCGGAGTTGTTTCGCCTCCATGGTGGCATAAAGTAGGTGGCCGTGAGAAGGCTGAGCGCCGAATGAGGAGGGTTCCGAAGAAAGCTTCAAATTAGGGTAAATCGCGAGGATAGAGAAAGCTTCAAATTATGTTTTTCTTTTACTAAATCATAGTACTTGACTTCTAATTAGAGCTGTAAACGAGTGGACATGAGTCTGGGTTTCTGATACTAGAGCCCAACATCAAGCCTTTATCGAGCCGACATGAACACTGTTCATTTATTAATACTAGCAAGTCGCTTATGTCGGCTCGAATCATTGACTAAACAAAATGTAAACGAGCTTAAGCTCGAGCTCGATTCATTATCAAAGGAGCAGAGCACGGGCGGTTGATTTCGTTTAGCATTATACTTGGGAAGCCTATGTAAGATATATAAATTTGGTGGGCAGAATTGCAAAAGCACAGAACATAAAGGACCTAGACTGAAAATATTTCAACTAACCGATAATAAAGACAACCCCCATACCCATTTAAGAAAAAATTCGCTTCTCCACGCCACCGGTCCACCGCACCTTCTACTGCAAAGTAAAAGAACCCTCCCACCAAATCGCCGGAGACGCCGTCGTAATACGCCATTACGCCGGCGACTCCGCCAAAGCTGAAGTGGAATTCGTCGGATAAAGGTCACAAATGGCACGAGCCTTCAAATTCTCATTTCACGTGGGCGTCGTAACGGCCGCAATCACTTACATCTACTTGTCGACGGTGTTCGTCTTCGTCGACCGGTGGTTCGGGATCTGGTCGTCTCCGGGAATGTTTCACGTCACCGTTTTCACCTTTTTAGCTGCCATGTGCGTCACCAGCTACCGCCGCGCTATTTATACCGATCCGGGTCGGGTCCCGGACACTTTCATGCCCGATGTTGAGGATTCCGGTAATCCGATCCACGAGATCAAACGCAAGGTCCGTTTTTAATGGCTTATTTTCGTTCTCCAGTTGTATACCTGCATGCGATCTTCGTTCCTTTTGGGTTATTTTTTTGGGGTTTTCCGTCGACGCATTTCTTTGGTGTGGGCATTTGCAGATGCTGTTTTTCATGTGATTTGCTCATAATGCAGCATCTGGGTTTATTGAAATACTGTTGCTAGATTGCCTATAGGTTGCCGTTAATTTTCAACAATAATGTGTTCGTTGTTTGAAGATTAGCTAATCTGAATGGTTGAAATCTTTTTATTTTGTTAGGAATTTTCGTGATGTTGATTCCTGATTCATTTTGATTCGAGGGATTTTGTTTTTAGCTTCTGGATTTGAAGTATCGTTATGAATGTTACAATTTTTTGTGTGATTGGATTTTTACTTTAAAGGTCTGATGGAATTCCTAGGGCTTGGTTGAATTGAGTTGAATCCCTTGTTTAGTTTAGCTGGATAATGGTTTTATGTTACCATATTTGGACTTAAACTAGTTTTGTTACCATATTTTTACCTTTTGGATTATAATGATAAGCTGTGTTTCTATTTTTGTTCCTGAACATACACAAAGAATTAGTAAGCAGAACAAGTGTAATGCTTGGCCAATAGACATGCTTATTATGAGGTGCCATTGTTGTCTTTATCGTGTTTTTCTTGTTTACCCATTGGATGGGAAGCCTGTCGGTGATTAATAAATGTGTCGTTTCCTTTTAGCTCTAGCTGGGAATGTTTACTTCTGATATTACCGCACAAATTAAATTTTTCGTTTAGCCAGTAATCATCACAAAAGTAAATGGTGTCCTGTTACTAGGCTACTGATTTTATCCGTGGATCATAGCTATAAGTAATTAGCTTATCCCGCCTCTATTGTTGCAGTTTGTATCATATTATGTCCATCTTTTACCTTCAGTAAATAGTTGCTATCAGTGTTGTAAAACTCGGAGGAGGCGTGTACCTAGACTCTCTTTTGCCAATGCAATTTTGATTTAGTTGGATCAAAAGATTCATTTTTGAAGAAACTTGGGCTAGGCAGCTGTAGTCGCCTAGGCTCCCTAGCTGGCCACCGAGAAGTTTAAAAATTGGATTTCTGTGACCCCTAGGTGGCCCTCATTTACCATTTATTTTTCTTATCCACCATTTTACTGTATCTGGCTAAAATTGCTCTTTAACCTATATACATGCAAACCGCTCGAACTACCTTCAGTCCATAAATGCTTTAAAGACAGTCTTTTTTCTTTATTTAAGTTTTTTCATTTCATTTTTGTCCTTTTGTCAAGGCGACGAAATGAATGTATCGACCTGATTTTTTTTT